GCACGCGCCCCGAGAGCGCACCCGACACCCACAGGGCGAGCACTCGTGCACGCGCGCCGAGCAGACCTGACACCCACGTGCCCGGCCCTCGCTCCCGCTGGCTAAGGGACGATCTCCCACAGAGGTGTCTTTGCACCGTCCTGACGGCTTGGTTTTAGCGTTTTCTCAGAAGCTGATGTGCTCTCACACTGGTGCGGCCTACCAGCGCCAAGTCTTCCTCTTTCTACATGTTTTCTCACCGCTCTGCCTTGTCACACTGGGCTGGCGGCAGCCACTGCCACCTTTTTTCCTGGAGAACAGGAAATTCGACCTAAATAAAAGACGTGCGTTGGGTGAAGCGGTCTGGGCAAAGCCTTGTCTCTCTCCCACGAATTGGGAAGTAGTGGTGAGATTATTCCCCAGGCTCGTGTGCTGCTTGATCTCTGTGACAGTCCTGCCATTTCAGACACAGCTTGTAAGTCATGTTACTGTGCTCCTGTGGACTGCTGCAAATTAGTCATTTTTATCACCTCCCCTTCCCCCCCAAAAGGGTGTTCTCTGTGGAGAAGTCATTTAGAAAAGAAGGAATGTGTTTTTTTCCCTCCCACTGGGAGAACACTTTTTGATTACTAGTCACATATTTATGGACTGTCTTTCTTTTTCTAAAGTTGTCCCAAACCTTTGGAATGTGGATGGAGAAGTGACCGTCACTGAGCAGAAGCCGGGCGAGGTGGCCGAGGAACTGGCAAGCACCTACGAGAGGAAGCTCATCGAGGTAAGGCTGGCACGGTGGTGTCCGCCCCACCTTGCCGCCCTGGGCTCGCTGCAGAAGCAGGCCCAGCCTGGCAGACCATGTCAGCCAGCAACTGTGAGACGCTCTTGAGCAAATGAAACACGGAATGGCAGCCTCCTTTTACTTGATGAGAAAAGTCAGAGCTGGGCCTTTGAAACATAGCACTGCATTTAACTTTTGGGTCTTTCTGGCAAGGAAATAAGAGAGAAGACATAAATAGGTCAGGCTAAAGATAAGAAACCAAGACAGCAGGGGGTGGGGACACCACTTTGGGGGTGCGAGGGTGGTCCACAGTCTGGCCAGAAACAACAGAAGGAGAAGCAAACGTACTCCTGCATTTGGAGAAGGTCAAGACCAGGAGAGAATATCACCCGGCCTGTGCCAGTCTGCTGATGTGAGCACAGGGCGAGGAGACTGTCTCCCGGGGCGACGTTCATGGCCAGTGTCCATCGCAGATGAGGCCGACAGTCTGAAGGTTTTCCCAGGAAGCCCGAAGAAAGTTGGGCAAATAATTCAAGAAGTGCTGCCCTAGCCGTTAGTCTGGGTGGGTTTGTGGGGATTTCAAGGAGACTGCAAATAGCAAACAACCTGTCGCTGTTTATAGTTCCTTGCGGTGTTGCACATGTACACATGCCGAATTTACATGCTAGATACACGTACGCGTCCTGTGTGTACGTCTGCGCGTATCTGTGCATGCTCGTGTCTTGGCTCAAGTGCGCCTTGCTCTAAGGCAGAAGAGAAACCTGGCAAGACTAGAACTTGTTTATGTTTCACGGATGGCTTCATGTTTGGGGTTTCAAGTCCGCTTGTTAATAGGGCTAAAAGCCAGGCGTTTATCTTCTTACATGCTAAAAGTCATCGACCACGTGGATGCCTGACAAGTATTCTTGGTAAACGCAGGGGAAAGGCACTTCTTTAATGTGATAAAATATGTATTAGTGATCACGGCAGAGCTGGGAGGAGCCAGGTGGGGGGGTGACTGACACGACCATGCAGGTGTGTCCCTGCCAAGGCGGCCGCTTGCGGTGTTCACCACAAGTCGTGTTGTGTGTGTGTGTATACGTCTGTATACGCATTTATGTGTATGTGCACACACATACATTTACAACTGTACTTCCAAGACGTTCTAAATCTCCTGAGATTTTAAACTGAGTTTGGGGATGAGGAAACGGCCCGCGTTGCCTTGGAGATTTGCCTGGCCTGAGGGGTGCACGTCAGATGCAGTTTTTGAGGGGTGGCCCTCAGCTCGTTTCCATTGTAGCCGCTTCTGGCCTGTCCTTCCTGGTTTCCGATGATCTCGGAAGGGAGGTGACTTGAAAACAACTTGCCTTCTCACTCAAGCACTGGAGGCAGGTGGGCAGGAGGGGAGTTTGGCAAAGTAGGCCGCCAGGGTTAGAAGGCAGATGGAAGGGCCTGGGCATCTCTGCAGGGCCTTGACCCCCACCACGCCCGCCCATGGAGCCTCACTTGGGGTTATGCAGCCACCGTTGCTGGCCCACGCAGAGAGCCCCCAGTGGAGGGGGGTCAGGGCCCCTGGCCCACAAGATTGGCACAGTCTGTGGGCGCCCTGAGCCCCTGGAAGGCAGAGTCCGTATCCTTGCCTTTACACACAGTCACCACTGATGGCAGGCAGTGACTGGGTTGGACTCCACTGTAGAGTTAGGCCTTGTGGGGCCTCAGGGCCATGTTGAACACAGCTCAGTCATTGTTGGAGCTTCTAGATAGTTCTGCTCTTCTTTGGGATGGTTCGGGGCGCCACTCAGAATTTCTTTTGTGAACTTTCATTCTTCTTGAAAATGGGTCAGGGAAAATGGACTTGTGTTCACCAATGGCTTTGAAGATGAGTCGTACATATCCAAGAGAGGCTGTTCTGAGACTCGTTAAGGACTGTTGCTTTAGCTGAGACTCACCTCGAGCTTCCTCATTGGTTGCCTTCAAGACAGATATGAATTGCCCGTGGGCCGTAACCCTGCATGCCTTCGCCTCTGTCCCCTGCAGCCTGGCGTGGCCAGCACACGATGCCCCACATCGACAGGCTGAGGTCAGGCCACTGCCACACACGCCTGGGCAGGCTGCCTAACTGCTCTACACCTCAGTTTCCCTGTCAGTAAAATGCAGCCTCTGGTATGGACCAGAGGGCCGCTTGCGGTTCCAGGTCACGGGGTGTCTCTGGGCTGTGCCTTCTCTCCCCTGCTGTCCTGGCCTCTTTCTGGAGAGGGACCAGTGTTTGCCATCTTGTCGGTAGGTGAACCCAGGCCTCTGCATTCCTTTGGCTCGGGGCTGACGCGTGGCCCGAATGAGGGGCATCTGGAGTTCTTCAAGGGAGGCAGGAGTGCTCCGGAGGCTGCTGACCCAGAAGCAGGATCCTGGCGATGCCCAGGCTGTTTCGAGCTACCCACACTGTTCTGGGTCCAGTCCAGTCCCTTCCCTGAGCCAGATTTCTATCCCAGCTTCGCTGAGCTTAGGTTGGAATTTGCTTCTGTTGCTTCCTCTGAAGTCCCCTGTGGAGCTTTGTGCATTCCTGCTGCCAGCAGGTGTCTTGTCCCTGCTTACAGAGCTCCTCGGTCCAGCCTACCGACAACTGTCTTGGCCCCTGCATGCGGGCAGCCCCCAGTCAAGCGGGCCTGACCCGGCCTGCCGGGCCGCCGTCTGCCAGCAGGCCGTCCTCCCTGTGGCCGGACTGCGCTCGCTGTTGATTCATCTTTCAAATTAGAGGATACTTATCATTTACTGTAGAAGTGTAGTTGGTCCCTGAATTTTTGCTCATGGGTGAAATAAAGGATATAGAAGCAACATTTATTCTCATTATAACGGCAGAGTTACTATTAATGGAGAAGTAGGCTTAAGCATCAAGCTGGCAGAAAATGCATTCATAATCACATGCTGGAGATGACTGTGAATGTGATCATCATTTTAATGAAATGTAAGAGTTCCTGAAGCAGCCAGGACCTTGGGAGCAGTTACGCTGCCAGTGTTTGCTGCCTAAATTGGCAGCGGTGGGTTCCAGCAGTCTTGATGTATCTGTGAGTCATTTCTATACAAAAGAAGCATGGACTTTAAATAAAATGCAGGGTCCTGTGTAAAGAAGTTGGGATAGAGAGCAGAGCCGAGACCCACATGAAGCCGAGGCTCAAAATGGAAAGTGTAGTCCTTTGTACTTTTGACGCTTTATTCACAGGCTGCCGAGGAGATGACAGGTCCTCACCTCATGGAAGGGGAATAAGTTTCGCTCACCACACAACACTGGGTGCGTCAGTGCTCATTAGGTAATGAGTGAAAACTGGTAGGGGTTGTCTTTTTCAGAGGCTAGGCAGAATTCTAACTAAAGTGTGAATGAGTAACCAGGCCAACCCTCCAGGGAATTCTTAAAAGCTTTTTAAGATAGAAAGCTGCAACATGCACAAATTGAAGACTATAATGAGCGTCTGTGTCCCCACCGTCTGGCTTCCCAGAGTCACTTGGTCCCCCCCTGCTCCCCCCTCACCCCATCTTGCGGTATTTTGCAGCAAACCCAAGCTTTCATACCGTCTTGTTCTTAAACATTTCAGAACGTATCTTCAAGGGCCCTTCAAGAATCCCCAGTGCCACTCAGTGCCTCGTATAGGAGGTTGTTGGTTATGATGAATCTCAGATTGGAGAGACAGAGAGGGTGAGGAGACAGAGAGGTGGAAGAGGAACAGAGGAAGTGGGGGCGCTTCAGCCGGAACCCGTGGAGGGGCTGGGGCTCACTCAGTTGCCTGAGGGCACCTCAGCATCTGATCACGCAGGGCAGCAGGCGGGTCCTCTGCTTCTCCCCCTGCCCTCTGCTTGGCCCTCTGCGTTGGCGCCACGTGATGTCACCTCAGATGTGTCCCCACACAGCTGCACTGGCCCCTGGAAACTCAGGATTTGGGCGACAATGGGGTGTGACTGTGGTTTTCCAGTTTCACGGGTGCTGCGGGTTCCTGGCCCCGGCTGGCTCGTCCCCTGACTAGTTCCCCTCCTTGGAGGAGAAGGGGGCAGTCTCTGTCCCCTGGGGGCTTCAGCAGTATTTTCAAATCATGCATTTTTACTACGGATACTTCTGATTTATGTCAGAGGAGACAGAGGGAAATAACGTGCTTTCCTGGCTCAGCGCGTCTCACCTCATCCATACATCTGCTCGCTTCCCAGCTTCTCCGAGGGGTTTGAAGCAAATCCGAAGCCCAATATTGATTTCACTCCAGGTATTTTGGAATCTGTCTCTAATAAAACACCTTGAAGTTAACGATACGTCGGTAACACCATCGGCTACCTGGCCAGGGTTCCAGCCAGGTCCACCCCCGTGCTGTGGTGGGCCACCCCTCCCCCTCCCAGGCTCTGCTAATCCAGGTTCTCCCATCTCTGGTTTCCTTCCCGCCTTTCTTCCCAGCTCCCGGTCTCTTCGGTCTATTCATTGGGGAAACTGGGTGGCTGATCCTGGAGACGCCCCCAACACCACCAGTTTTGGGGGGGGGGGTTACGTGCTTGCCACTCTGCACCGTTAGGTGGCATTTGCCCACGGACAGGCAGCCCAGACGTTGGTGGCGGGTGGTGCAGCCCTCACAGGGTCTGGGGCTCGGCTCCCAGCGCCCCGCCAGTGCCCGCGTGGGCCGCGCGATGCCTGTGGCCTCCGTGCACCGGGAGGCGAAGGCCAGGCCGAGCCGTGGCGTGTCAGCTGCCCCCGGTCGCCGCTGGCCGCTGGAGAACTGGCCTCTGACCCCGGCTGCTGAGTGCTGCCCTTTCTGGTCCCCGCCGTGGGCTTATCAGCGCCTGGCCTGCCGCCTTGCTGATGGGCTTTCAGAGAAGCCGGGGCATGGACGCAGGGACGAGCATGCGGGCTGTTGGCTTGCCACCCCCAGGGGGATCACCCGGCTGACAGACACCGTCCCTGACGTGCACTGCACGGCGAACCCCGCTGCGCTGCCCTGCTCCCCACTGTCCTCATTTTGTCTTGAGTGCTGAGGCGGCTCCCCCAGGGGGCA